GCGTTGTTAGCTGTGATTTCGCATCCTCTCTCCGTTCAGCAAACCATCTAGTCATCATATTCCGTATGGATTCTAACAGTCGAACTATGGGAAGACTTCTACAATTTGATAGTGCTTTGTTCATAGATTCTGCAATGTTCGAAGTCATTAGGTTGTACCTTTCACCCGGGAAATGAACACGCGCCCACATTTGCACCCCAGCTCTTTCGAGATATCCATGTAGTTCAGGATGAAGCGCTTCAATCTCATTGAATGCTTCTGTAAAATCAGCCATCCGAAAACACCTAGCAGCTTTTTTCACAAGTGGGAACAAATGTTTCCCTTTGAACTTCACCAATATGTTCTTGTACAAATGATAAGTGCAAATTCCACGAGAAGCCAACGGATACACTTCACCAATTGCTTTCCCTATTGACTTATGTCTGTCCGAGATGATCGCAAGATTCCTCTCGTCTGGAATAGCAACTTTGAGTTGTGTAAAAAACCAACGCCAAGAATCATCATTTTCAGTGTCAACAACTGCGAAAGCTATTGGGAAAATTTGGAAATTTCCATCCTGAGCTAGGGCTGTTAGAAGCGTCCCTTTGTAACTACCGTGTAAAAACGTACAATCCACAACAACAACTTTCCGCATGTAAGCAAACCCAGCAACAATCGCACCAAAAGCAATGAAGACATACTTGAATCTGTCAGACTCGTCAATTTGAAGACGCGTTATTGTACCCGGATTTGCCCGTCTTATCGTGTATAGGTAGGAAAGCAATTCTCCAAAACTTCCCTCAGGAGTTCCCATATCGATCTGTCTTGCAAACCTTAGCGTCTTGTATGACTTCCAATAATCCATCTGTTGGCACCAATATAAAAATAAGTCAGCCGTAACTATATATAAGTCAAATGAAAACTCAGCCGTATCGTAATGATAACTCAGCCGTAACTATATATAAGTCAGCCGACACATAAATGAAAACTTAGCCGTATCGTAATGCTAACTCAGCCGTAAAGGAAAGAAAACTAAATGAAACTCAGCCGTATCGTAATGAGAACTCAGCCGAAAATAAATAAACTCAGCCGTATCGTAACGAAAACTCAGCCGTGACTCAAATATAAATCAGCCGTGACATTGTAATTACCTTTATGCCAAAATGCTTACTGATGATTATTCCAACACTTTTAGGTTTAACTAACGGACCAATGTCACCAAGAAAGTCCCTGTAAAGAGGTCCCAAAACATCAGGTGTAGCTTGTTTGGATCTCTCCGTCACAGAACATGTGTGTACCGAATCATATATACGAACAACAAAACCAGGCTGATCTCCTTCTTGAGATGCACGAACTCTCCAAAGACATCCTTCAACCCAGCACTTAATATTCACTATAGTCGTATTTGATTTTGGTACTGAAAAATCAAATCCATCTCTCACTGCAAGAAGTTTCACTCGTTTCTCCAACTCGTCTTTGTTCGCGTATCGTTGTCCTACGACGAGGTTTAGCTTAGCCATCTCCACCGTTAAAGACTCCGAGTTCCCAATCGATCCTACTTTGCCAAAGTAATGACCTCTGTTTTGACCTCGGTAAATCTTCATCTTTCTCCTCACGCTCGCCGTATATAGTAAAGTTATCATCATCAGCTGACGCACCATCGGAGTCGTCGAAAACGTCAAATCGGGTTGAAAACTCGTCATCTTCTTCTTCATCCTCTGATTCGTACTCTGCTTCATCTTCTTTGGCTTCATCTTCTACGTTTTCAGTATAATCATAACAGAAACCATCAAATCCTCTTGCGTCTTCATATGTATATTCTACTTCTGAAGCCGAACTGCGTGGCCGTTTCGTCCTTGAATTCGATCCGTCCTTCAACTTCGCGAACTCAACACAAAGTCGTAGCTGATCGATTGTCAACAAGCTTAGATAATTCTGCAATTGTTGATCGTTTGAGACATATACTGGGGGAGTATCATGCGACATATGTTTCATATGTTTGTACGAGAGCATGTAGCTAATCGTCACCTTATGGTTGAGTTGATGCAGTCCGTAGTAATCAAAAACCAATTTCACTAGCTTCTCGTGCGTTGTTTCGGCATCTATTTGCACAATTCTACAACCTCTATCGTCAGTGTTAAATACATATTTTTGTTTCTTTGCCCAGTTACCAGACACAACAATCATTGGAACCGGATGATCCATCAACGAAAATGAAGAACAGAAGTGAAAATGCAGAATAGAAGTGAAGAACAGAAGTGAAAATGAAGAACATAAGTGAAAATGAAAAACAGAAGTGAAGTGAAGAACAGAAAATGAAGAACAGAGCTAATGCGAGACCTTTCGTATTTCCCTCGTTTATGCTGACGTGGAATTGTGAATTTGAAGTCGTAAGTCAGCCACCAAACAACTTTGTAACTCAGCC